GAACTAAGATTAAATTATCTTTGTCGGCAACCATGTAGTTTCAACACAGGATTACTGACTCCTTGCCACGCGCCGGATTAGACAGATTTTATGCCGATGTTGACAACTTGTCGGATTGGACAGCTGCCGGTTTTGACAGCTTCCACTGTACAATGGTCATACCATGCCCATCACTCAGTCCTGACCTCTCCCAATTAACACATGTCTGTTGTCATTGGCAGATCCATCTGACTCTCTGAATATACTCTCATTTAGAATGTCATTGATTGTCTCATAAAAGTATATTCTTCAAAAAGATTGAACATGTCTGAAGTGGTTTTACCAAATATCAGTGAAGTTGGCTCCAAAATACAACTTTTGATTTCACCTCCGACCTCGCAAACGACCTTGTACTCCACCATCTCGCCAGACCAATTTTTAGAAGCCATTAGATCTGATCACCAACTAAGTTTTGTAGATGTGTTGTTTTATCATCTAATGGAGGGTGTTATCGGTGCAAGAAAGCAATCTGATAAACTTGGTATCCAAATCTGATAACTATGCAACTTACGTCGATCCACGAACTACTTTCACAAAACTCCATACACGCTACGCGAATCCTAAAATGTTTTAACATTTCATTGATGACGTCGTCGCGAGTTTACATTGTTTGTAAACAAACATGGCTGCCCCCATTCTCAAAATTGGTGATTCTGTAAGAATTGATGATAGAGGTTCTGGAGTCGTTACTGCAGTAATTGACTTTGGAAAACATGAAACGGAGTACTACGTTCAAATTGAAGGTACGAATTATGGGGCACGACTGAAAGCAATCGTCTAAAAAGGTACCAACCAAGGATTTCGATCTACCGATCACAATACAGACGACGAATCGATTCCGTCAGGTACTAGTATCAAAAAATTGATATTGATGCGGTGATTATCCGCAATGAAAATGGAAACACTGCCAGGAAAACCCTGCCTGATCTTGTTGTTCGTTTTAGACAGAAATATCTTATTTTAAGCATGAGTTAAGTATTAGCGACTGTATTAGCGACTAGTTACAACCATATGCCGCCGTCATGAACGACCTTCACCTTGGTGTACAGCTAATTCGATTCTCTTCATATAAATTCCCGTACGATTTGCTTCTTTTTGAGAGTAATGAATGACATTATATGATAAAAAAGATTATTAACCTCGCGTGTTTCCGTATCATTATTTGCGATTATTAACCGAGTGTGTTTCCGTATCATTAATATCATATATTAGGAATAAAAAGTGTATTATGCGAGCCTTTGGCGAGATACAGGTGTTCAGGTTAACTCTCAGAAAAGAGTCAAAGCTATTATTATTCGTCAATTATGTCACAATATCTGTTAAGTTTGCAGATCACTATCCCACACGTCTGACGTGTCAACATTTCATCAGGTCTCGGTTAATTTTAACGATATTTTAAGGAGTACAGGTGGAGGCAATTCGAAACTTGACAGATCAGTGATAAACATCATGTCCGATGAAGTTCCCTTTTTGAAAACTGTCAAGATCCGTTGAGTAGATCGATACAGTGTATGAAGGGTGCAAACCGGATATAGTGCGCAGTATGTTCGTGCTTTGGTTGATAGAAATGTTGTCACGGGCCCTTTTTCTGGTTTTGATAACTGTGAGTATACTTCAAGTACTACTAAAATGAGCGAAACACTTCTATTTACTCATTTAACTACAGTCCACTGCGAATTTGAAAAATGACCCTCTAAATTCTTTCAAATATCAAAAGCGCATCGCCGATTTTGCTCCTTCGCAGAAAACATCGAAAATAAATGCCATAATATTCCTTAATTTCTTGGTAAAACTTGATATGAAATATTTGACAAATAAGCTTTCAAATGGTGTATAATAGTCCTAACATAGAGTATTCGTTTCTTTACACAAGAGTTAAACATCACACTCTTATGCATCACCACTGTACCACAAATTGATATCCGCTAATACAGTTGGTTGATAACGCTTTCAAAATACATCACTGTACGGTTTCTAGTTAGTTCATGTTATCAGTTTTATGTAAAGTTCTTATTTAAATATTTTGCGTCGTTTTCTTAAGGTACTGCTGAGTCGAACACAGACTGATACAATGAACACTTCAGTTTGCTATTATTGCGATTTTCGGACAAAATCTTTCACGATTATCATTGACCACTGTTTTATCAATCACCCATCCAGTGAATTCAAATACAAATTCCAATATCATGACGACACAACCCAAAAATCTTATATACAAACAAAAAAAAAAAAATCGAAATTATACCAGAATTTTAAAATCTGAAGGAAAGTATATTGTACATTGTAATGACGACAAAATCATCAAGCATTCAAACAATGAAGTATTCAGCCTCCTTAAGAAAGTCTAAATGTGATATGAAGGAGGGTGTGTTTGGCCAGATGCAAGCCTTGTCAATGAATGATTTAACAGTGGAACTAGATAAGAATACAGAAACATTTTCCTCGCATGAAGCAGGCACTCAGACCTCACCGATAATTCCTGCATGTGAGAGTTTTGATGGAGGTTCTATGAAAGAAAAGATAGAATTGCTTCCACTTGTCTTACATAACTTAAAGGAAGTCGGACATGTTTCTTAACTTCACACCATTGGTTGCTTCAAATTCATTTCCCTTGGGCAGTATTACGTTCATGCTGTTTTCTGAAATGGTGTCGCGGTATTAACTCGACAACACCGTACTGATGAGATAAAGTGAGGTTACAAAACGTTTTTAGAGAATTGGGCTAAAATTGTTCAAAGGAACTTTTTTAAATTCATGTCAGGCATGAAAATACACAATGAGGCACAATGACAGAGGGAAAGTCCCTAGAGGTGTGTACGTTTCTAATGATTTCAAAATGATCTTCGCACTTCCTGATAGTAATGTTCTGGACAGAATGAAAGGTCCTCTTGAAGACAACCAACTTGTACCTGGTTGCATTATGCAAATACTGGAGATGAACAAGTTAACACTTACAAAATGGGTATTGATGGAAAAGAATCAAAACCTGTACGGGTGGAAAGTTACGGGATGTTGATTAATGGCCGTTTGAGGAGCATCCGACTCTCATCGAAAAAATGTCAACTATCACACGAAACTGGTATTTTGGAAGGTTGTGAAGAATTTGTTAATGCACTGGAAATTCGTGGATTAGAACAGGTTACCGAATGTTCAGACGAACAAGAAGAAACGTTCAAGTCGTTGAGTCATGATGTCTTTAGGATTTGCAGTGGTCACATGAGACATTTGAAACAACTGAAAGTTGCACTCTTGCACATGACAAATGCCTGAAAGCTGTATCTGGTGATTGGAGACAGTCGAAATATGCTTTCGTAATTAGTTCTCTCAAAACCAGCATGTACCAGAAAAGTTGTGCCAATGAATAAAGCCTACTTTTAAGTAAGCTCTCAGTCAGGACGTTATTCAGTTACGCACTATATTCCATACAGATAAACAAACAGTTTCGGCTATAATCCAGTACAGTGATACTTCATTGTTGCAAGTGAACTTATTAATATCGTCATAACTAAACAACTTTGAAACATGAACATTCACACATACATTGTAAAATCTATAACGAATAGAATACTGGTAGCTCCCTAGGCTAACATGATGGTATATGTGAGTAAGAGCGAAAGTGCACAAGCTGGTCGAATTTGGCTCGATGCGCAAGAGGTGAAAAATTTGTGTTTTCATTAACATACAGATATCTCGCTGATAATTACTGTAAATGTTATATCCTAGATATGCATGTAATATTATAATGTACTTCGTTTTTAAATACACTTTTTGATCGAGCATACCTGTTCAGACGACATATCTATCAACCAAAGCACGAACGTACAGCGCACTATATCCGGTTTGCACTGTATGAGATTATACACTGTGATCGAGGAACATGCTGTAGATAACTTGAGCGTCACTGGACAAGACTCTTACTTAGTGGCCATTACCGAGTGCTGCTTTAAACAACATACAAACTAACCCTACTATGTACTTGTGCTTATACACTATGGTTCATAAACACATGCATTTGATTTTGCTGGGATCAAACGATAGACTTTTCAGAGATTTCATTTTATCATGGTAAGAGTTTTGTCCATTTGATTTTACCCCGCCGCCGATGTTCAGGCTGTTGTGGAATATAATGACCAAATTATTTGCGACAGCATGGGTAGTTGTAGCTGCAAGTAGTCAAAATGGCTGGTTGTTGTTTAACGCCGCACTCAGCAATATTCCATATACATGGCGGTGGTCTGTAAATAATCGAGTCTGGACCAGAAAACCCAGTGATCAACAGCATGAGCTTCGATCTACGCAATTGGGATACGATGACAAGTGTCAACCAAATCAGCGAGCCTGACCACCCGATCCCGTTAGTCACCTCTAACGACAAGCATGGGTTACTGAAGATCAATTGTAATTCGGATCTTCACGGGTGGTATGTGGTCAAGGGTGTCGGAGAACCATTGTGCGCGCTCAACCACACAATCACTCAAATAAATCATGTTACCAAGCCCGATTATACAGATTTACTTACCACTGGCTCTTAATCAAAATACGAAATATTCATACTCTCACCGAAGTATCATCTCCAGTTTCAGTGCTAAAGTGGGCCTGATAGTTATTCAGATGAAAGTTTTGCAAATTTGAGAAATGCCTTGACCTTAGCTGAAAATAAGACAAGTCGTCTACAAAAGCTGATTTTAAACCTCAACGTCAAAACGTCCACGGTTGGAATAAGGACTTAACAATGTTTCAGTTGGATCGAGGGGTGGTAGGGTAGTCTAGCGGTTCAAGCGTTGATCTTCACGCCGAAGACCCGGGTTCGATTCCCCACATGGGTACAATGTGTGAAGCCCATTTTTGGTGTCCCCGCCGTGATATTGCTGGAATATTACAAAAAGCGGCGTAAAACCATACTCACTCACTCACTTCAGTTGGATCAATTGCTGCACGGGAAGAAGTCCTGTCTTTTGAAGAACTTGAACGGCGATATGCAGAACTGAAACCTGGTGGTCGTTTCAAACCAAGTGGCTGCACGTCCCGTCACCGAATGGCCATCATTGTGCCCTATCGCGACCGAGAGTCCCACCTGAAGATCTTCCTCAACAACCTTCACTCCATGTTGCAACGACAGCAACTAGATTACGGCATCTACATTGTTGAACAGGTGAAAATATAATTCATTTAACCGCATTTTTCATTGTGGATAGCTAGTAGGAAATTTTAAAGCGAATGCAGTAGCTGCTATTGTATTCGATTGATTGAAAAATCCGGACAGTTGGGTCTTCAAATTCAAAACAAATGGACATCACAAAACTAATAGTTCAGTTACATATTGAAATCCTTGGGTGTACAATTATGGAATACATGTGGCATCTTCAAAACAGCCATGAAATATCTCAGCGTGTCTTATCATCTATGGGACAACTTGCACCAAACTTGCCACATGTTGTGAAACACCAACGTGCACCAAGCACCAACCAAGGACCTAAAATATCCGTGCCTGAATGCTCATTCTAACCAGTAAAGTAAATGTACAATCTGTCTAGACTAAAATTGAAATATCTGAATCAATTTCAAATGAAACTATCTGATACCAACAATTTCTAACTGTAAGTCAAAGTATGCTTTCACCAAATGCATAAATTCAGCTATAATGAATTGAACTTTCAACAATTAAACATATTTTTGTAATTTATACCTGTTATATAAAACCAATTCATCAATTCAAAATCGTCATGCCACCTTGCAAGGTTGGGAGAAAGAGAGCAAGTGAACAAACTTCAAACTTTCCTAATGCATCTAACTTCAACATCCAATCAAAATGTTGCACATCTTCAGCCAATGAAAACCAAGGACAAGACAGAAGACCTGACCTCATTAAGATTTGGCTACTTTGGATAGAAACTACTTTTGACCCATGACCCAGTGTTGGCCATAAATAAATCATGGACTTGTGAAAATATAAATCTTTTCACTGACAGTTGTATTGTTGTTAAAGGTGTAATGAATAAATCACAAACATGCAAATAAGACAAGACATTTTAAAATAGATTATCTTTTCAGATCATTTTAGAATGTGTTTATTTTGTACATATGACATGACGTACTAGCATGGAGATGTTGTTGATAGGGTAGTTGTTCTGTTCCTACATTTCGATAATCCGGTAATCTTGTCCGTGTCGAAATGAATACCATTTAGATGATACTTAAATGTATTGTACATTACAGGCCTTGCCAAGCATGTTCAACAGAGCCATGTTATTGAACATTGGATACAAAGAAGCACTGAAGGACTATGATTTCCAGTGTTGCATCTTCCACGACGTTGACCTCATTCCAGAGAATGATAAGAACCTATACACTTGTCCGGTGAATCCCCGTCATATGTCAGTTGCCATTGACATCCATAATTACAAGTAAGTATTTTCCTTCTAAAATTGAGCGGTGGGGTAGCCTAGTGGTTAAAGCATTCGCTCGTCACGCCGAAGACCCGGGTTCGATTCCCCACATGGGCACAATGTGTGAAGCCCATTTCTGGTGTCCCCTGCCGTGACATTGCTGGAATATTGCTAAAAGCGGCGTAACCTACCCACTCACTCCTTCTAAAATTCGAGTGTTGGAAGGTGGCGACTACACACTCTATTTGATCTACGAGTGAAAGGTATGGGTAAAACAAAACACAGCATGTTTTATATTTACGAGCAAGATCTTTTTGTTTTTTTATTGTTATTGTTTTTTTTGGGGGGGGTTGTTGTTTTTTTGTTTATGGGTGGAGGAGGTTTACTCATTTTATCAATTTTAAGGCAAATCATCTTAAACATATAGATTATACTTGGCATTATAAGTTCGATTTGCTGCCCAGGTGACAATGAGACGATAAATAAGAAGTTGTCTTTTGAAACCGTGATGGTTAAGAAACAGAGTGGATTAGCTAATTGGATGATATTATTCAATTCATTCAAATTCAAATACCTAATTATGGTCAAAGTGTCCACTGAAAAATCAACACAGGATCAAAAGTCAGATTTTACGCCACTGAAATTAACGCAAACACTGTAGGAAATACGGTGAGTGAGTGAGTATGTTTTTACGCCGCTTTTAGCGATATTTCAGCTATATCACGGCAGAGGACACCAGATATGGGCTTCACACATTGTACCCATGTGGGGAATCGAGCGGACGTTTTAACCCTCAGGCTACCCCAACGCCCCTTAGGAAATACATACTTCGGTCATATTTGCGTATGTTTCCAGGTATTTCCTAACTTGGAGCGTATATTTCATACAATGGTGCTCCTTGATCTATCCATTGCATTCGATACAATAGATCATACCTTACTCCTGCCTCGACTTAAAAATCGTATTGGGATAACAGGAACTGCGCTCAAGTGGATTTCCTCATATTTGCGAGTTCGCACACAATCTGACAAAATCGGAGATGTACAATCACCAAAGTCACTATTGTTATATGGTGTTCCCCAGGGATAAGTTCTCGGCCCCCTTCTGTCTACATTCTCCCCATTGGTGACATTATCAGGAGGCAGGCATTGATTTCCACATATATGCGGATGATACGCAACTCAGATTATGTTTCACTCTATATCAACAAACTTGAGTTCAGGATTAAAGAAATCAAATCGTGGATGAACTATTTGATGTTGAATGAGGAGAAGACATAGTTCCTACTGATTGGCTACAAATATCAGCTTATAAAGTTGAAGACTGCTTCTCCATCACTTTCACTTCGTATTAGCGACACAAACGTCCCGCCATCAGAGAGTGCCAGGAGTCTTGGTGTCATCCTCGATTCCAACATGTCCATGGATGCACACGTCGCCTCCATCAGTAGAGCCTGCTACTACAACATTTACAATATCAGCAAAGTCCACCACTACCTCGATACTGACACCTGTAAACTCCTGATGCACTTCTTGTCACTTCTAAACTCGACTACGGTAATGCACTATATGCCGACCTCTCCCATAAATCACTCCAGAAACTACAAAGAATCCAAAATTCTGCCGCCAGATGTATCACCCACACTCCTCGTCATGATCATATCACACCAGTACTACAGTCTCTACACTGGCTCCCCATTCTGACTCATGACTGCCTCTACAGCGATAACTTTCCCCACTATCTCAAACAACTCGTCTCTGTGTATGTACCCCAGCGAAGTCTCCGATCCTCCTCTGACTCTCTCTTCACCAAACGCATATCTCCAAACCAACTGTCTGATCTAGCCTTCTCTTTGCCAGCCCTGAACTGTGGAACTCTCTTCAACAAGTGAGTTTAGTTGGAATTGGTTGGAAACATGGAAATTTCAAATGTTTACACATCTTAGATATTTATGCATCATGCCGTTTATCAGGTTTCTATATACTGCTCTTCAAAAGTTTATACTCAGTGTTAGAAAACTACAGAGATCAACATTCACAATGTTAGAATAGACATGTGACAAAAGAAAACGGGAAAATGTTTCCATTTAACCAATTTAATGACGAAAAACAGATGATTTATTTTTCAATCCACGAGTTATTGCATTGGGATGAAGACTATCAAAACATCACATACAATTCTCACTAATAAGGAGTATGACCACCCCTTGCCACGATACACGCCCAACAACGTCTCCGCATACCACGATTGAGCTTCCCAATGTTCTGCCATTTTGAAGCAATGCGGTCTCAAGGCCAGGTCTGGCAGGTCGCGGCACACGTCCATACACTCGACGTCCCAACATGTCCCATACATGCTCGATCGCATCGGATTCAGATCTGGGGACAGTGCTGGTCATATCATACGGTTGATCCGATGACGTTGCAAGCATTCATTCACAATTCTGGCTCGATGTGGACGTGTGTTATAATCTTGAAACTCAGGACGCCCTCCCATGGCCCTCATGAACGGAACGAAAACTGGAATAATGGTGTTGTCTCTGTATTTTTGACCAGTAATATGCCTTGTACAACGACGAGTTCGGTCTTGGAAAGCATGGAGATCACACCCCAGACCAATACGGAATCTCCTCCGAATCGGCCATGCTCCGCAAAGGCAACGTCATTAAACCATTCACCTTAGCGTCAGTACACAGCATTACGGCCATCATTAAAATGCAAGTTGAAGCGAGATTCATCGCTGAAGAGAACTCTGGACCACCACTCTGCGATCACCCCAGCCGATGTGTTCATTTGCAAAAGCCAAACGGTTCTGTCTATGATGAGGCTTGAGAGGCGGTCTGACGGCATGACGTCATGCTCTGATGCCGTGTGAAGGCAGGCGACGTCGTACAGTGGACAGTGAAACACGGGTCTCTATTACACTGTGTACTCTGCCCCTGAGGATTCTATCTGTCGTGTGCCTTTCAAAGAGAGCTGTTAAACGGATGGATCGATCGTCCCTTTTGGGATACCGGATCGGGCCTATCCCTCACGGAGTTCGTTTGTTGATTACGGATCCACAGGTTTGAAATGGCTTTCTGTGAAACCCCAAGTCTCCTGGCCACGTATCGCTGTGATCTGCCTTCCTGAAGTAAAGCAATTCCTTGGCGACGTTGGTCTTGGCTTAAACATCTTCCACGACCGATGGTGCTATTGGTCAGACTGTTTTGTGGCTACCGATCGCGATTTTTATACAGTTCTACTGGGATGCCTTGACATGTTGCCACCGACAACAAGTTTTCACGGAAAAATGTATCCCTGGTGGTGCTTTCTCGAAAGTTTTTGGGAAAAATTCATTGCATATTGCCAATTTTACGTGTGCATTATTTGATGGGAAGTCGAGAAAATGCTTTTGCTAAACCCAATTAACTGACAGCTAAGATCCCTTTCCAACATGTGAACTCACTATTTGTATGTATATTGATCAAATGTGCGTACTGGAGACATTTATTCTCTAACACCATTTAAAACACACTGAGTCTTAATATTTGAAGAAAAGTATGTATGAACGGGTTTTATGAGTTCGCGTTATCGGTGCTCAAACAAAAGGATCATATGTTTCCATCATATGAATGACTTGGTTCCTGTAACTTCATGTTCACACATTTTAACAGGCTTGAAATCAACGTTCATGTGACCTCATTAAGTTTATCATCTTAAGAGCCTGTCAATGGAAACAGCAGTATGCAAAATAACACGTCTTGTAAAGTTGCATTCGCTCTTGCTGCCAGTATCAATTACGCCTTGTGTGCACTGCTGGCAAATATTGTGAGGTGCTTGTTTCAGCTGTGAACCCTATATTTCCCCATATAATAGACGACTAAGCGACTTCTTTATAATGTATCATAAAATGAAGTGTCAATATCCATAAACCATTTGAAGGAGTAGATATTATTGACGTATTTGGTATAAGAGTTCGTATCTATGTCGTAAATAAATATAAAACATATATTACACTCTCGTGTACACTAGTCCCCGTTTGCCTTAACGTACAGTTGGTCCATATGTCGGAGACATGTGATCATGAAATAGTAAAATATTGACTTGTGGAATGGATGAATTCACTTAATGTCGTATGAACAGCTTCCTACATATTACACGCACGTCAACATCTTATGACAACTCTATTTTATCAATTTGAAAACAAATGCCACGACGCTTTCATATCGTGTTTGGTGTCCTCAGAGTCTTCTTTGCTTAACCTTCCTACTCTCTTGACTGTTGTATAAACAAAGCAAACCTTTTGATATTTTCTGCATTTTCAGCTTTGGGTTTCAGTATCCCATCGCGAAGGTCATTGGCTGGTCTGAACCGTTTGTCTCTAACAATGTCAGTGTCCTTGCAGATGTCGTGCAAATGTCGGTTTATGGCAGATCTTACATTTTAAGCGAAATTAAATCTCCTTGGTACTCGACAGCTTTATTGGGAGGCATTTTTCCTATCTCTGAAAGATGGTCTTTGGTAGGACTTCAACATAAAATTGCCTTAAGTTCATGTTGATGCAGCCACCGTTAATTTCACTTGCCCAGTCTGGAATTAATTCAGATAATATTTGATATTGTGAACCATGCCTACTAAAGGTATTGATCGTGTTCTTTCGTCCGTTAACAAAACAATACACAATCTTCTCTGATCTAACGAGATGTACATTGGACACAGCCACTGATCAGCCGACGGAAAAGGGTTTTTGGAGTGATCTCCCTTGGACCATAGATCGTTTCGTATAATGTAACCGGAAGACTCCTTGGCCTAGCAAACACGGCATTCGTCACCAGTCGTCCCTTTCCGTAACCTCCAAGAAGACTCGTCCGCTGTCTCCATGCTTGTTATGTGCGAAATTACCATAAACCAATCAGAACGCGCGTAATGCTTGTGGTGCGATAAAAAGAATCTCGACTACTTAATCCGCTTATGACATTATGCCATTGTTTAAAAAATCTTGAAAAATATATCGTCATACTGAAACTACAAAGAACGAAGCTAACAGAATTCTTTTGCCTGTTGTGTAGTTTTTAGTAAGGACAATGCCATGGACGATGGGTGATTCAAATACACGCACGTGCGTTTAGTTATTTAACGACTCTCATGTGTCCCATTGAGTGTATTTCTGACAATCCTGAGGGCTTAATTTGGAGATTGTACCTGCACATGTTCAGGAAATGTAATTTATATATCGCCACGAGTTTCAAAACAATAATATTATATCTATATACCTAATCAATACCTTTAATTTTAACACTGGGCTTATATGTCACATCTCTGGGGGTATTTTTCAGTCTGACTTCTTTTTCTTTTCTTTTCTTTTCTTTTTTTTTGGGGGGGGGGGGGCATTTATATTTTTTTCAGCGTATTCTTTTTTAAATTTCACCAGGGGTATAGCAACAAGGTTATAAGAGTAAGTTTTTTTAGTATCTGCTTTGGTATTTAATGTAGCTGAAAGAAAAGATTATTTTATTTGCATATTCAATAAAACAAATCCCATTTGAGTTTCTGAAACCCTATTTAGAAATATACATTTGGAAATGTAAGTCGAACACCGGGCTAATAATTAAGTTTGAATATGTCTTTAACAAATATGTTTCTCCTTCTTCCAGTTTTACATAGAGGTTTGATTCTTTGAAATGAAAAAGTAAAAAAAAACCATCAACACAATGCAGAAGTGCTTCGGTGATTTTAAGTACCATTGGAATCAAACAAGAATAGAGTTATCGTTGTTGTATAAAGCAGTTCTGATGTTAATGCGTCAATGAGAAAATGAATCCTTCCAGAGGGGCACGGGTGCTGTTCGGCCTGTCCCGGAATAACACGAGTTGGTCACGGATGCAGATTCAGATAGGTCTTTTAATGGCATGTAGCACTGATACACATAAGGAAGAGCGTTTTATGGATGTCAACTTCTTTATTATGAGGAACCAGGATTCGGCGTATATCCTTACTCCTTCGTCAGGTGAATGAATGAAGGTGAACGATTTACTCCGAAACGTTGTTTTACTCATAATGAAGAAGTTTACACCAATAAAGACTCTCTTCCTTAAGGTTCAGATACTAGACTACATTTCTGTCGAACATGCGCTCGACCTTTCGGCACCGTTCATTGTCTCCAGATCAAATCTTCGTCAAGAACATCAATATATCCTAAGATCAGAATATCACTAAGACATCGGCATTCATGTCAAAAACAGTCCCAATGTTTCCTTAATCAAAATCGCCGTGGATGTTTCTTGCATAGGCCATTGCCGGGAGACGACAGGCACTGTAACCGAAAAAATACGTTAACGTTTAGCTGTGAAAAATACTTTTCTTACCTTTGTTGCGTGTAAATTGTATTTTGAACAATGCGTGTGTTTCTTGTTTCAACGATGAAGTCAACGCGTAATACTTACGATGGATATCATGTATAATTCTGATTGTTCTATTATTATTTTCATTTACACAGACTATACTATAAAGGCGCATTTGGTGGAGTGACTGCTCTAACAAAGGAGCACATGAACCAGGTCAATGGCTTCTCAAACAGATACTTTGGTTGGGGTAAGGAAGATGATGACATGTTGAGGAGGTAAGGTTAGTTTCAATGGCAATGCCTTTCATAATATTGCAATAGTTACTCATGGGGCTTTCTTGATAGAATATCCTGTAATCAGGACCTACGCAGTGGTGTAAAGTCCAAACGGTAATCTTACTCTTGAGTTGAGCGTCCAGGCACGCCATATCCACTTACATAAGGATCGAGTGTAAGAAATTTCGATCTGGTTAACGATGTATGTCTATAGACTACATATTGGCTGCATTTCAGGTGTCGTCAGCATAAACTTGCTTGAATACTGCCGATTTCGTTAAAAAATAGTATTCACCTATTGTTTGGCCTGATGCGAAAATATGAATGTCTCGTTTTAGGAAAATATACTGTTACGGTACCTTTTTTCTGCATTCGGTTTGTGTTGTTAAACTTGAATTTACATCTTCTCTCAATAATATGTGAACTGAACAAGACTGTTGTAAGCTGCAATGGCCAAAGGAGAACCAGCTAACTGGCACCGCTCATAATGGGGCGCGGTGGGCAAGCTGGCTCAGGCGCCAGGCTAGTGATCCAGCGAGGTTGAGGTGTCAGGATCGAGCCCACCTGTGGCCTGGTGTAAAAACCTTGGAGTCAACTTTGTGTGCAGACTCTTTCAGTGTCGTCACAACCCCTAGTGTACAGTACACAACCCTGTGCACTTAAAAGAACCCACGAATTTATATGACCAGATGGTGGCCACATGCATACGTGCAAATACCTAGTTGCGGGTACAGCAACGTGTAGTGAACTTTGACAAAGTACTGTGACTATGTGTCCCAGTCAACCCAGCTGTGAATGGGTACCTCGATAGGATGAGAAAGCCACAATAACTCTGTGCGCCTAGTGGCTGCAAGAGTTGTATACTCCCCAGGGATAATACGATGTGCCGTTGAGATTGACATCTAATGATCGAAGGAAAAATACTAGCGTCTTGAGCATGCACTAGTTTCCTGGATATGTGCGCTGTATAGATATTCTATAATAAATAATGACAGTCAATGTGTGGTCTGGCCTTACCCGTCCAGTGCAAACAATCTGAGGAACCACTAGTTTGATTTCCTAAGGTAATATGGTGTTTCCTTCCCATTCCTTCTGGCAGTTTATATGACGCCTCTAATGGCCTCTCCTTGGATCCATCCTATCGCGTATTTACATGTAATCTCAAATATTACATATGTTACTGTCCTTGGACGCTGATATCGACAGTGGATTGGCACAGCATCTACCAACACCAACAGACGAGAAGAGCGTATTGGAGAACAGCAAGCTTACCACCGAAATCAAAGTTATTGACCATACCAGGCCTATTGTTACTCGGGGTTGTAGGTGAAGTGAGGTAAAATTAGGTTTAACGTCGTGCTTGAGAATATTTCGCTCATATAACGACGTGCATGCGTGTGTATGTGTATGTGCGGCTGCTTGTACTAGCCCAGACTTAAGCTGGTTTTATAGTGCTAGCCCACTGAGATACCATGCCGCAGTGAAGCATGAATACCCCACTCAGACACATTATACAGACTCCGAGCCGACCAGTCCTTGTTGTACCCATTAATGCCGAGCGCAAGGCAGGGACCAACACGGGGTTGTAGGCTACCGACACATTTCGGACAGAAAGCAACTATAGACACTGGAGAAAATTTTGAGTTAAGAGCTGAATGCTCGAAACAAGATCGAAGCCACAAATACTGTACCAACCCTTTGCTATTCATGTTGACACCCTACTCGAAGAACCATGTCAAACAACCGATCCCAACTGCCTGGCTCTTCGCTATACCGCTTATATTTATCAGTTGTACTGAGAAGCTGTGTTCTGACTGACGTGGAAGCTCATCACGGCATTTTCTGTGCACTTTTGCAAACATTCGTTATGAGTTTGTGAATCATGTCAAACCTTATGATAAAGATTTGTCATCCCAGCCAGTGACAGGATATAACCTCAATGGAGCTTTTGTTGATGGTTCAGTACCCCTGAATGGTACAGAACCAGAGTCAACCAAGCAATGTGCAGTATGAACTCGTCATGGGCTCTGGGTTCTTTTTTTCAAGGAAAAGCTCTAAGAACGATTTCTGTATCAGGTTGATTTATGTTCAGAAGAAATGCAAAACTGCAAAGTTCTTCGGATTGTCTTGAAAGGAGAAACAGAAGGATTCTTTTTGATAATGAGCATAACCAGCCTGTCTCGACCAGGATCACCTAACCCTCTTGTCTGCCTTTATTTCTATTAAAATTTAAATATTTAGTCTTATGCACTGTTATCAATCTACTACGCGGTTGTACAGGAGCACGTTTTAGCAATCATTTAATACGTTTTGGTATGAAATACATGTAGGGATAGAGTTTTCAGTTCAATCCGCAGATGGTTCCACAGCAAAGTCATGTTGTGCTGTGATTATCATCTTTTAGGGTCGATCAGGTTCAATGATGTCAAGTCATATGTTCAACTGTGAACTGCGAATTGAGTTCAGACACCTTTTCGTAAGATGAGATACAATCAGCATATAGGTAAGGAGATGATCTAGTGACAAGCAACATGTATTCCCATTGTTGACTCAAATGATTTGGATTCCATTCTGTTCGTGTGAATTTAGTGATTAACATTTTTAGATGATCCCTTGACATACTTGCTATTCTATCGTTTGCTGTTGATACAAATATCAACATATCATATTTGTCATCACTTGTTTATATTACAATCCGTCATAACGTCAAATTTCAAAAGTGATTAGATATAGAGGAGTTATGAACTATAGCGTATTAGTTTGATAATATAATAATAATTTTAATAAGTTTTCAATTCTTTTGGGTGTTTTGTAGCAAACGGACTATAAGCATGAGTTCAAATCCCAATCATTATCAATACATACTGGATTTGACGGCGTTGATAACGTGTGCCTTGCTTGCTATCTTTGGTTGATATCCAAACTGTGTGGAACACGGTGCTCATTTACAGCATCCCTAGTTCTTCTATAACTTACATTTTTATATTTTTTTCAGAGTTAAACTGAATGGTTTAACATATTATCGACGGTCAGAAGAAATTGCACGATACAAGATGATCAGACATGGACGAGATAAATTAAATCCGAAGAGCAAGGATCAGTAAGTTTCAGCAGAAATGAAATGTCGTTTCCCAAGCGGATGTTGTCAGAGATTAATGTATTCAAAACGAGACAAACGTATTTTCACCTTCCATGAGTACAGTTCACTGTTTCAAATGCAACAGACATAATACAGACGCTTGATAGCAACGGTTTGTCACCCTGTAATGAGCGAGTGAGTTTACACTGCACTCAGCAATATTCCAGCTACATGTATATGGATTCGATGACATGTCAACCAAGTCAGCGACCCTGACCACCCGATCCCGCTAACCGGCTCTTAAGACAAACATGGGTTGCTGAAGACCAGTTCACTTGTGATCAAATGTAATTATTTGGTTTGTATATTGTAATGGATTACACGTTTGCTGACAATGTCATTATGGTGTGTGTCTATCTTTAGTAGATATATTTGGGGAAAATTATTGTACATATATTTTGGATATAAGATATTTTTCGTTACTCTAATTTTCATAAACACAAGTCTTCGTTTCTGACTAATACCTGATTTCATAATGTGTCTTGTAAACACAAGTCTCACCCCACCCCACCCTCCCTATTTTCCTCCACTGTACACATATGCACCTCGTGCACGCGAAATGAGTGGCTGCACTTATGGCACGTCTCTGTGTATTCACGTCTTCGTTAGAATACACATTCTACGCGTGAATTTCTTATGCCATGGCATTGATAATTACGGTTTGCAAGTGATTAGAAAGTTTCATTTTGAAACCAGCCTTACGATAGATGACTTACCTATTATACATTTCGAGCTTCTTGCTTATCTGGAGGTGATTCACTATTTCCCGTTATTTCAAAGCAAGCTCATCCAGAGGGAATGTCAACATATTATTTTCTTGTTCTTTTCAGAGTAAAACTTTTTTAAGCAGCTAGCGAAAGGCAGCAAAACCGATGGATTAAATTCACTCAGATATCGTTTATTGAAAAAGGAGTATAGAAAATTGTACACCTGGGTCTATGTGGATGTGGATGTGGATGGCGGAAGTTGAGGACGTGTGTGTTCTCTACATGTCCAATACGGATGTAGCGGGTGCGGATACGTGTGAATAAAGTTCATTTGGAAAAGTCTCTTTTTTACTTTTCCAAGCAGAGCCTTCTCAGAACACATCGACTGAGCGATAAGAGGGATATATATATACAATGTGTGTATGCATATGTGTGTGTGTATTTGTACGTCAAAGAATAAAGGGTGAAACCAACAAAGAAATTTCTACATCGATTAAATAATCGTGTGTGGACCAGACAACCCAGTGTTCATCTGCATGAGTATTGATGTACGTAATTTTGATAAGATGACATGTGTCAACGAGCCTGACTACCCGATCCCCTTAGTCGCCTTTTACGACAAGCATGGGTTGGTTTCCGAAGACCAATTCTAACCCGGCGTTCAACCACAACCAACTAACCAGCTCTGAATCCACGTTTCCCTATAAACCAAACGTTTCTCAACAGAAAGCTGAACATAACCAATTTGAAGTGAAAACTGAACAAGCGTGCATCAGATATTTTCTATTCGTTATGTTTACCTGAGTCAGGATAGCGCCTGTCGTCTATATGGAGTCATTTATACATTGTTTCATGACATCACCATCATATTGTTTGTTGTGTTTGTTTCATTTTGCTATCCCCTAAACATACAAAAGATGTATTAACTATAGAAGATGAGCATGTGATTTTTAGGCAAGTTCGATGGATGGAGGAAAATGTTAATATTAAGGTTCAAGTCAGTTTTGGACAGTGAAGCAGTGTTCGGTAACTCGTATGACCACCATTAGCACAAATGCAAGCTTCTACACGTCTTTGCATTGACCAAATGAGCTTTTGAAGTTGCTGTTGTGGAATGTTCTGCCATTCTCTCTGTAACGCCTGCTCAAGGTCATCCAGAGTCTGGGGGTGAATCATGGAGACCCTAAACATGACTTCCAATAATGCCCCAAGCGTCTTCAATGGGATTAAGATTAAGTGACATTGCAGGCCAGTCAATATGTGTGATGTTGTTGATCTGCACATCGTTAACAACTCTTTCTCGGGCATAATCATCCATAAAAATGAAGTTAGGACCCGCTTGTTGTGCCAGAGGAATGATTACCGGTAGGTTTACACCGATCAGGGTGCACATGTGAAGATCGGAGCACATTCATGCCACACATTTTGTATGTTGTTTCTGAGGGTGCTTGTGTTCGGGTGATGTTGTCAATGTTATCAGATAAATCAATTTGACAGTCACTGAAGGTTATGTACGTATTCTTTGAATATTTACCTTTCAGTAACATATCGGCAAAAATCGCTATCGAGATTGATAAAGATATTGCATTGGATATAATTGTTGCTTATTTTTTTGTGAGGAGTATATTATGTTTGCATCAGCCAAGTTGAATTCTGAACGTCATAGACCTATCACATGGGATATTATAAACCTGAGAAAACATTTGATGATTGTAGTTCATCTGCATTAAGACTTTCAAAGTCTTAATCGTATTAATGGGGGAATGAGCCAGTGCATGTTAAGATTTACTTTATTGGTTAACTGTGTGCCAATGAGTTCATTGACTTAGAACAGGGAAGTAGACGGATGTATCCAATCACTGAAAAAGGGGAGTCACTGAACGGTTTTTCCCGAGACCCTTCTAATTATAATACACGTGAGTGAAGGACAGATACAGTTTTAATGAATCAAAACGATATGTTGAAATATGTGTTCAAGATCAGGTCAGGCTCGTCTCATTTAAAAAGACATGTTTGGGCGCTAAGAGCTCAGAGTGCGAAGAGTACTAGCTCAACATTTCGGAAGCCAACCCACGTTTCTCAGTTCCCCGTGTGGTACGAGCCTGCTCTGTCTTGTATTGGAGTTGTACTTAGAGCGAGATGGACTGAGAGACAGTAAACCCATGTGAGTATAGAACTTGGTTTTGCGTTTATCCTTGAATGTATGTATGCCAGTACATGAATGTAATGTAGTTAGTTAGGAGTCACGACCCCTCACCCCTTGACTTAACATTCCCCATGGACCAGGCGAGTGCAGAGCTGGAGCTTTCATCTCTCCTGACAATGTGGAACGATCATAATTAGTAGGGAACTGTGGTAGGGTTTACTGAAACCCAAACACCAGTTACGACAACATTAACTGTTAACAGGTATTATATTATATTTATATTTATATTTTATTGCACCACTAAGTGCTCCTACGAGTGAGTGAGTTTAGTTTTACGCCGCACCAGCAACATTCCAGCTATATGGAAATCTGTGATCCACTAGACTAAGTTATTTTACTGTCCTTCGTTGACGGGGTTTTATAGTTTACCTTTATCTAGCATGAAATTATAACTTGTTTTACAGTCACGATATGGCTGAAATATTGCCGATGTGTAAAATCTTTACTCACTCACTCACTCCAGGTCTATGGTGGCGGTCTGTAAATAATCGAGTCTGGACCAAACAATCCAGTGATCGACGGCATGAGCATCGATCTACATAATTTGGATACGATGACATGTGTCAACCAAGTCAGCGAGCCTGACCACCCGATCCCGTTATTCGCCTCTTAGTAAGCATGGGTTACTGAAGATCAAATCTAACCCGGAGATTAAACCTGTCTTATCTTGAAGGAATCGCCATACACGTTTCTATTTATATGTAGTTTTCAAGTAAAGTTTATGTCAATTATCTAGATCAATTTGTCTTCTTTCATCAATTTTACAATATCCAAGGCCTCAAAGATTTCAAAACGTTTAATGTTAAACTTGTGGACGATCTTTCTAACTTCAATATTCGTGTCTGATGTGCCATGTGTTCCGGTGTTGTCCACCTTTTTGCGTGGCGGTGGGGTAGATTGATGGAACGTCCGGTCGTCACGCTAAAGACCCGGATTCGATTCCCCACAGAAGCACAATGTGTGAAGCCCATTGCTGGTGTACCCCGCCGTGATATTGCTGGAATATTGTTAAAAGCGGCGTAAGTCTCTCATAACATAGCCTAGCGGTTAAAGCATTCGCTCGTCACGCAGAAGACCCGGGTTCTCACTCACTCACTCACTCACTCACTCACTCACTCATTCTGTGACTTTAAATCTTAACTCACTCACTCACTCATAATGTGCATCAGCAAGTTGAAAAAATCATGTTTTGTATTAAACCTTGTCGAAATAGGCATGACAACATAGATTGCTTCTAAATTTTATTGCACAGGCAATATGTGCTTCTGTGGTCGTAGACGCTCCATGTCGTCAAAGGTTAAGGCCATCTACTTCCTAGCAGCAACACAGGAGTTTCCACTGACAGTGTAGGCGCCCTCTGCGGCCTGGACGGCACCCCTGCAATGTGAAGATGCAATCGTGAGACAAGGATGAGGAATAATCAGTGGTGCATTTCCGTCGATTTAGTCTCATCACACAGTGTGTGTGTGTGTGTGTGTGTGTGCGTGCGTGCGCGCGCGCGCGTGTGTGTGTGTATTTAATAAGAACTGATAAAGAACCCATCGTTTCACATAATCTATCTATATCATTAGATCTAAAAACAATGTAAACTACATGATGATTAGATCTCCAGCCACGATACTTGCTTCTTCAATTCTCAGTCTTTTAATTGAAATAACAAACGCATGTTTCTTGACAGGAGACATAAACGTACATTTCAGTACTCTGTGTGTGTGCGTGTCCGAGCGTGCGCGCGTGTGTGTGTGTGTGTGTGTGTGTGTGTGTGTGTGTGAGAGAGTGAGTGTGTGTGTTTGAGGTAGTAAGTGAGTGAGATACGATCTGATAAAAGTTCAGTCGTTTCATGTTATCTATCGTAAATATTAGATCTCCAGAGAAGGTGAGTGAGTAAATTGGGTTTTACACCGCTTTAACCACTGAACTACCCAGCTTCACAGGGTACATAGACGTACATTTCAGTGCTCTCCAGTTCACAATTATTATGCTGTGTATGTTATTCACAACAAAAATACATAAGAACTACGTGTCGTGTTATCACTTTACATTTTCATCATTACTCTGTATACGAATACATTGCTGCGGTTTCATTAAAGGGCCTTTATTCTAACCTGTTACATCTGGATGTATAATCAACGTTATTTTACATAATTCTCTTTCCGCTAGGGTTTCAGGCTGATGTCTGTCAGACTATTTCATGGACATACTTACTCAACACAGTTCAACAGGCACGAATTGTCGTAGTAGTTGCCGGCGGTGTCACAGACGGGGTCAAGGATGCGGGAACACGGGCACTCACAGTTGACAGTGCTGGCTGTGAAGAAAGTTGAAGGTAAAAACATTATACTGGTATCTCAATGAGCTCAATAATGAGTTCGAGAGGTTTCCACTCGTCCGCAAAGTTGCGTCGACTAGGCACGTCAGAACCCTGTAGGTTCGAATCCTGGTTCCAAATGTGTCAGCATCGTACGCGTGCTCGTTGGTTTCACCAAAGATAGATGCCTCAGACCTGCCTCACCTAGACCATGCTTATCTTAACTTGACTCGCCGTTTTGGAATTCTCAAAGACATAAGTATATATCATAATGTCTTTCTCGAGAGGGTAACAAATATCACAGATCATTCTGTCATTAGCAACAGGAGGATATGACTTTCCTGAAAGCGTGACAAATATCACAGATCACTCTGTCCCGAAAACGTATAAATATTTGTGCATTATAGTTTCATGACTGACTGACTTTTCTGCAACATGAAGTCAAATATCACTAAGGTCATCGAGTCTGTTTCACATGCTGTTACCCACATTTCACAGCCATCAATTGTGTCATTGTTTAAAATTCATATAATGACACTTATAGCCAGAGTTGATAATCTCCTTGTTTACATTTGTACAGTCAGCCTGGTATACTGACTGCTTGTGTAAGGACGACCACGAGCGAGCAGGATATGCCGCTGGTAGGAAACCCCTAAGGCTGGGATGCAGCTCCGCTCCGCTCACCTCATTTCGTGTTGGTAATTGCTGTGCATTATACGTTACAAGACATTACAACCTTTGCTCAAGGCACTCTTGGCAGAACTGTACTGGCAAATGATCGAGTGAGTGAGTATGGTTTTACGCCTCTTTTAGCAATGTTCCAGCAATATCACGGCAGGGACACCAGAAATAGACTTCACACATTGTACCATTGT